TATTGAAATGGCTGTCACTTTTACATCTGTCATCCGACTTACATGATGTTAGGTGCGTTTGAAGGACGATGAATGTAACTTTTTAATGTTGCAAATTTTCAATAGATGGCGCTGTATGTTGTATGATTTAAATATAAAGTTCGGTTATTTTTAGGACACACTGTGTAGTTCTTCTCAAAGTCAAAGAATTTACAGATTTTGGAGTAATTTTAGACTATTTTCGTTATTAAAGACATAAGCTATATGGTTACAAGGACTTTGAAGTTTTTTTTATAAAAAAAAATTTCATACTAGTCTCTAGTTCTATCAACACTGAATATTTGGAATCCAATTTATTCAAACCATTTTAGTAGAGCAGAAAGAGCGCAGAAGAATTTTAGCCGCTCCACTTTCGCCCACTGATTACCAACGTACAGTTCTCGTTGAAGGGTTATTATAACCTTGAAATACCTTACACACACACACACACACACACACTGTACACGCAGTCTGTAATATTTGTTTCTTTTTACTTACTTACTGGCTTGATCAAAAAGTTCCCATAACCACTACCAACCGACGCTTTCAGTCGCTCGATACAATTTTCAGCTTGACAGCTTGACATTTGTTAAAGTGGTGCCATCTTGCATACATTCAAATTGTGCGGGTTCTCGATTTTGTATAATTTAAAAATGGAATTAAAATTGCAATAACAGATTTGCATTCAATTTTGCGCGAAAAACGGATTTAACGGTGCGAAGATATTGAAAATGTCACAAAAGAGTTTCGGCAACGATACTTAAAATAAAACTGTGGTCTATCAGTGGAGCCGCGACCACCTGGTCTGGCTTGCTGCGATATTTTGCTATTCGGTCGACTCAAGAAGATGACACTGATGGCCATACCGCAAACCGTATATGAAAAATGTTTAGAGGAGCATATCGATTTTCATTTACAATCTCTCATATCATATTGTTTTAAAACAATTTTGGAACTTTTTGATCGGATTCTATGTATTGTTCAATAGATTACTCTGTCTTCTAGTTAGTATTAAGTAAGTGGCAGCGGTAGCGAAGTAGTTAGCATTGCGTTCTGCCATTCGGAAGGCTCGGGTTCAAGTCCCCATGCGACCAACATCCAAAAGCTATAGAAAATTATTTTAAAATAAAAAAAAAAATTAAGTTAAATTTTCTAATTGCGGTCGCCCCTCGGCAAGAAACGTCAACCCCTCTGAGTGTATTTTTGACATTTGGCGGCCGCAATAGCCGAGTGGTTAGCATTGCGCACTGTCATTCTGAAGGCAGAGCTCGTTTGCTCGTTTGACCGATATTTAAAATTATAGCAAATTTTGTGCGGTCGCTTCTTGTCACTGGGAATGTCAAGCTCTCTGAGTATATTTACGTTATCATTTACTAAAAAGGGTAATTCGTCAATAGAAATATTTTTTTTTTTTGCAAAAGCCCAACGAAAGTCATAGATAAATATTGAAATATAAAAAATGCTAAAATGGCAACACTGATAAAAATTTTAGAAGGAAAAAATATACACTTTTTTTGTAAAACTCTTACCAAATTATTTATCCAAACTATCATTATTTCGTAGCTGCTAATTAAAATATAATTTTGTGATCTGTTTTACAATTTTAATTAAAATTTTTTTGAATAGAGTGTCTATATTTAGAACTCGTAAGGCGCTTTGTCTGTCATTTTAGATGTGAAAAATAATTTTAAAATTTTATTGGCAGACATTTTTGGGTACAAATTTGTTATTTAGCTGCTTAATAGCATTTCTACATATTGTTGTAAACACCTAAGTGGACATAACATACATACATACAACATACATATATGAAAATGAGCTTTAAATTAGCAATATTATCTCATTGTAATAGCAGCACGTTTCTTACATAACTTTAAAGTGAAAAAAAAAATATATATATTGTACTACAATTACAAGGCAATGATGTAGGCAGCCAAGTGCGAAAAGAAAACCTTACGCTACTCTCCTTGGGGAACTTAACTTTAATTTCAGTAGGCACTTTGTTAAATTACAAATGAGTAGTTAAAATGTAATTTTCATAATTTCACATGCTGAGTAGACACAGGCATTCTCGGAAGCACTTTAAAAAGTATGTAATTATGTATAAACATATGTACGCAAAAGCACTCGTCTTAGTACATACATATATACATATATATTTTAAGTGTTGAAGAAGCGTTACACTTTCGTTGTTTTTGATGGCGAAATCTTACTTCAGCAATTCACTTGCGTTAACGTCAAAGCATGCAAGTGGGTTGGTGGGCGGTGGTTGGCAGGTAGGTGCTGCTTCCGTTATTATTAACATTAGGCTGTAATGTAGTTTTCTTTCTTTATTTACTTTATGTTAAATGTAAATAAGGGTGTTTTTTCTAGACATGTGATTTTTAAAAATTATAAATAATAATATTTAAAAACATTCACTGTCAAAGGCGTTAATCAATCGTCTCAGGCTTATCTGCGTAGACAATCAATTTCACATAAGTCAATTTCTACGATCTGCTACTTACACACTTTTCCAAAAGAAAAGTAATACACGGCCAAAGACAAAAATTTAAATATTCGTATAAATTTTAACTTTTTATTAAAACTAAGCATTTTGAGTAAATGTAAGAATGCTGTTTTTTAAAGAGATAATTAATCAACAAAACAATCAAAAAAACCGTAAATTCATTAAAAACATGAAATCACGCGCGATAAAAGTTTAAATATACCATACGTATTATTTCATATTTTGACTAAAATAAACTAAAAATTAAGGGGTTTAAAAAAATTTTAATATTTTGTTGGCCCACCTCATGCTTCTATAACTGCCTTTCGACGACGAGGGGTATATATAAGCAAATTTTCTATTTCCGATGGCGCAATTTCAGACTATGCCCTTTTCAGATACTCTCTTATTTGCTCCCAAATATGCTCATTGGGGTTCAAGTCTGATGATCGCGGCGGGCTAAAAAACTGTCCAGGAGCATAAAACAATAGTCATTCATTCCCCAAACCAGCTGTATGGTTAGGCCCGTTGTCTTGTTGAAATATCTGCCAAGGAATCCACGGAAGACTGCCTATGTTGATCCCAAATACTTTTGTAAGCATATATGTTCATTATCCCATCGAAAAAGATTAAATGTCTTACGCAATTTGATCTAATCGCTCTCCAAACCTTGACGCTACCCTCATCGTGCTTAACGGGTTGTATTACATTTTGGGAGCTGTCTCTTTATCTATTCCTTTAGCCGAGCTGGCGTGATCTCCTAAATGTTCTTCCCCGGCCGCGTTGGTTTTCAGGGAATTCTCTTCCTTGTTTAAATAAACTGCTCCGTTGTTTGGTTTTTACCTTATTTTACTTTTCACTCATGATTAGGTTGCTCGGTTGGCGAAAGCTTCAAGACTAATGGGCTAATAACAATGAAACCCCCTATTTATACGAGTTATTGAACACGATGGGATCTTAATGAGACCATTCGAATCTTCTCATTCCGCTCCCTGGATGTTAACCTATGGAGATCTACCTAAGCACCAAATGTCTATGCATATCTAATTCAATTCAAGCAAACCAAAATCATAAATACGAACTTTTGGAAAATATCAAATCCATGATTACTTCGCAAAAAGAAAACAACTTGAGGGGAAATAAAAAATTAATTCAAGTTAAGCTAAGCAAAAATCCATCTATGCACTGAGTTTCATAAAAAATGGCACCATGAAAAGATATTCCTTTCGAAATAGGTCAGTTCCTTCCCCACTTCCAGAAAATTTTTCGTACAAACATTTTGAACAATCAGAGAAACAATCTGACAGATCTTCACAAACGAATATAAGATTTTTTAATATATAGAGTTAAGATTATATAGATTACAGATCAAGTACAAGACAATTCTTTAGATCCCATTCAAGTTTCCTCTAAGCATTTTGAAAATTGGTGATTTATATAAAAGTAATTTTTTAATTTTTCCTGAGCTGAGCGCCAATTGCTGTATGGAATTTACATTGCCTTTACTCTGAATGATTTCTAGCAGCTTTAAAATTTTTCTGCTGAAAATTTCCAACAAAACCAGCAATTTTTCGATATTTATCCTTGATACAAACACGAACAGAGCTAGTGGAAAGCAATTAAAAATAATTTATACATACGAATGTATGCACATAAGACACTGAAAGGGATATACTAAAATATTAAGGTTGTTCTTAATTTTTTTTTAAATACTGGGTGGATATAAAGGGTTATTTTTAAGCTATTATCTTTTTGGCAACACTGGTTTAAACAGCTGATGCACGTTTCGTGTTTTGTATCACTGTCAAATATCCTCATTTTGGTCTATGCAATGGCTTGATAAAAATTTCATGCATTTTTCTGATTTTTATGTTCTTTTATGAATAACTTTCCTAAGCTCTTAAAAATCACCCTTTATAAAAATTGAAAATTATGTAAATATGCATGCCTCACAATAATTTAGTTGTACATTCTACGGTGGCTGGATTCATTGACCGTAGGTGACCTTAGACAACATTTGAAGGTGCTGAAAGTTATGATTATGACGGAATCGTCAGCATGAGCCAGCTCATACGCCTTTTCATTGCTCTTTTCATAGTTTGATAGTCTGTGAATTGCTCCTCTTTATGTTCAAACTCATTTAGGCTTTATGTTGACTCACTTAATTGCTTTCACTGCCGCTTTACTATCTACCAGCTAGAGTAATACCTACAGTATCTGCTTGGAAAACAGAGTTGTACTCGTTGAGGTTTTGTTGGGGTGGCAACACAGAAGAACCCTGCACCTGTGTCTGCCTCTAACTAAGTAAATTAATATAAATATTTTTCTTAGACCAGAGGGAAATATGCGTATTTCTTTTATGTTTCAAAAGGTTGTTGTAATTTTGGAGATTTTTACCACATTTCTTCCAAATAAAAGTTGATTTGAAAATTCATCTTAAAATTTTGGGTCATACAAATTATATGCAGCACCCTAATTTGCATGAAATGCTTACCTGTTGTAATTGTCACCGTCCACGACAATACATCTGGATGCGTGTAATTTGTATAGTACAACCAGAAATTGTATTTAGTGCCGGGTAAGGCATGCGAGAATTGAATCTCCTCGCCAATCTCACGCGATGGTATTGTTGTATTTGGCGCTGGATCGCCGAATGGCGGACTGTAGTCAATGCGATAAAAAACATTGTCCTCTCCTTGATTATTAGGTATGCTTATGGCTAAGTCGGCACAAATTGCAGTCTGTAATGAAAGAAAGGGAAGGAGAAAAGAGAAGAGAGAAATAAATTTTTGGTACAAAAAAATAAATTTATTCAAATTTTGAATTAGGTGAAAAAAATATATAAAATTAAAAATATATATTGTATGTATATATAAATTAATGTCTTTATATAAATATTTTTTTTTAAATGGATGAGTTAGGAAAAAAATTTATAAAGTATACTTACTATCAAAGAGCTTTTGGAAAATTAAAATTTACATAAAATATTTAACTGTGTACTTTGAGTAACTTTCTGTACTTTACTTGCCTAAAAAGTGTATTCTCAGTAAAAAAAAAAATAAAAATAAGCGAATGAATAAAAATTTCTTCTGCATATATTTCCATACTGACGAGGAAAAGGCATACGACAAAATATAAAAATGTCAGTTAAAAGTAGCAGCAAAATTTTTACAATATTTTACAACTTTTCTGCATTTATTTTGGCACAAAATGGCGATGAGATAAGAGTGCACTGCACAGCAGCTGAGAACATTAAAATTCTCAAACAATGCCAGCAAAAGCAGCGAACTGATAAAGATAATGGGGTTTTCATTTTTATTTGAGAATATATGCATGAAGAAACTAATTTGCAAACAAAGAGCCGTATCAAAAATTATGCTGAGGAGAAAAGTGCTCATTATGGTATGGTGTCTTTGCCTTTTTTAATTTCCGTACGCAAAAATTTCTTTTGTGCTTTATGCCAAACTCTCAAGTCTCAAGGTGTCTATAATGAAAGCGCTTTTAGGGCTTTCCATCAAAGTACAGAGAATTATTGAAGTTTTTGCTGAGTGATGCCAAGAATACGTTTTGTTGATGAGTTGAATTTCAAATACTCCCTCCTTTACCTGGTGAGAGCTTACCTTCTAACACAGGTTATTGACCACAACTTTTTTGAAGCGACTGAGACTTTTACACACAAAATGTGGAGTAGAAAGAGTGAAAATTTACCTACGAGTGACAGCAGCCACAGCAATAACATAGAGAGTGACATGTGATTTGAACGAAGTTACAAAATGCATACAACGTTCAAGGTGCTGGTCAATACTTAGGTTTATTATAAAGCCCAGGACTCACCAATATGTTTTGAAAATGATTTCAGGCAAGTGAATGTGAAAGTAAATAAATTCCAGCCAAGAAAACGGTTTACGACCACTTTTTGCAGCAAAATATACTCTTTCGAGGCGTCAATCGTCTCGGGATAAGCGACTTCCGATAATCCCAAAAAAATAGTCCAGCGGTGTTAAATCGCACGATCTGAAAGGCCCACGACGCGGCATAATGCGCGCACCAAAAGTTTCCTTCAATAAATTGATTGTTTCGTTGGCTGTATGACTTGCTTCGTTCTTATCCATTGGAACTGCTATTTTGTGTTTTTCCTCTACCAATTTCAATTTAAAGCTTTACTATTTCAATCGACATTCGAATCTTTTTTCTGCATATTCAATGCCCAGGCTTCCGTCTCGTTCTTGCGAACCGGCTGTTGCTCTCGTAAACACATTGTAAGCCGTTAACGGAAATTACGTGTCGCCGTCATATCATAGTGCTAATAAATGTGCAGTAGTAGTATGTCTAAAGAAGGCGTTTCTTAAAATTTTTGGCCACTTCGTGTGGAGCCAATGTCGGATGGGTGGTGGGCGTGGGCAAAAGGCAGGAAGTGGTTTTGGAAAACATTGATTTCTGGCTTTGATAGCAACACAAATACTCGTATATACCTCGATATTATTGCAACTGTATTTGCATATCGTCCCTGTAGGAAGAAGATAGACTAGTACGCAATATTACTAGTTATAGTAGTAGTATTTTGTTAATGAAAACATACCAGTCGGTTATTTTGTGGCAGGCTCATCAGTAATGAAAGTAATAATAAATTTTAACAATGTTTGTTACTGTTATATCTAGCAAGCCACGAGTGAGCTACATTCTGTGTTACGCTTTGTTGAATGACGTTGTTTGCTACATCGGCACGATAGCCGACTGTAGGTGGATGTTACCGACATAGTGCTTTAGGTTCATAGTTTGAGTCTCGCCGAAGCAGGCAAAGTAATTTTTTTTTAATTTTTTCAGTTTCACTTTAGGTCAAAGAGACGCTCAACATGACTAAATGAACTAGTATATAACTAGTATAAAGCTGAGGTATAATCGGAGAATTTATAGTGTGGCGGACATCGCCGTGTTAAAAATATCAGTAGCTTACAAGTATATGAGAAATAAATGGAAGATGAATCGCTTTGTGGAAAAATGCAAATCAGTTGGATTCTAGTTAAAAATTAGGATTTTTCCACACAGGAACATGAAATGTTTCTATGTATGGATGAAGTATACGTGTTTGCATATCACCTGCACCAACGCCTACAAAATCACTGTGTCTGTCTGCCGGTTGAATGGTTAAAAGGCATATCAAAGTGCAAACAACAAGAGAGCAAATATTTCTGAAATGCCGAAATGCAAACTGAAGCTAACAGGACTTTTCGAGTAGCACACTACATATTTCAAATGGCAAAAAAAAGGAAAAAAGAAAAAAATCGAGTGAAAACTGTTCATTTCAAAGCGAAAAAAGGATGAAAGTGCAACCTTTGCAAAGTCACCGGTCACATCGAGTAGGTGTTGGCATTGAAAGTAATCAAAGGATTGCTTTGCTACAGGCAGTTGACTAGAAAAGTGGATTGGTTCGTTTATTGGCTCAATGGCTGAAGAGGAGTGCATTAAAAGCTATCACTACACACACACACACACAAGCATACACACGTGTGAAGTAAATAAATTCTCTATTTGTTGACATGATTGATGATGTTAAGGATGGATGATTTGCATTTTTTTGAAAAAATTTGTTTACGAGTTTTTGTTGTATGTATCACAAATTTTATATGTAAAATATGTATATGTGAAATATTGTAGTTTTTTTTTGGCTTTGGTTTAATAGGGATTTACATTACTCGCCACAATTGAATTATAAACAAATTTATTTATCTTTGCTTGTGGAGTATAAATTTAATTTTTTTATTCATATAGTTTTTTTCTGCTGCACTACTTCGCAATTATTTACGGTAATTTATTTATTTTATTTCATTTATTTTATTTCACTTTTTATTCTATCCGATATACGAGTATTATAATTGAATCTACCCACACATAAACATATTTAGCGGTACGCTTTACAGTACATACACACCTTTTTTTTGCTTGCAAAGTGTTGTTTTTATTATGCTCTTATATTCAAATAATTCGACTCATCCACTCAACCGCAAACTCGTTAAATTTTTTTAATTCCAACGTGCCTACTTTTTTTTTTGTATATACGAGTACTAAAATGTTTCCCTTGTAATAGACCTGCGGGCAAAAACAGTAGTTTTTAACCAGAACCAAACCAGTTTGCTTTTTAACATTAACTGGTTCATCCGCCATTTGGTCTCCACGTAAGAAACTGGTATTTTTAGCGCTACGATGGCTTACGAACTGTCCATTACCTGATTATGCATCAGATTTATACTAGTTAAATACTACTCCCTTCAGAGATTTAGATGTGTGATTTGTAATGAGGTAACACCTTCTTCGGAGTTGATCTTTTTAACCTCTCACTTGATTTGTACTCATTTTGCCTTTCTTAATGAACAGACTAACTCTGGCACAGCTTTTGAGAATCGCGCAAATTTGTTATAAAAATAATGGTTCAGTTCGTGTGACGTACCTTGCGCTGTGTCTAATATTCGCCCAGTGTAGTCGGTAATTCGATCAACCATTTATCGGTTTATTGGAGAAAATAGTACGAACTGTCGAGCTGAATACAGAAGGTACAATCTTCTATAAGAGTGAACACCTCGCAGTGGGTTCCGCTTTCTCCCTACTGGAACGAACCTACGAAGGATATGGGTTTGATAGTGCAAGTCGGAATATCTGCTGTTATTGCGACTCAGCTCCCATGTTGACAATCAATACTTTTATGTCTTTCCATGCAGGAATAGACGATGTCAACATCTGATGAGCCGACGTTGGGAGTTTTCGGGAGAAAGGTTTTGCGTAAAATTAATGGTCCCCCGGCGCAATGTTATTCCCGCGGCTATAATCGCATCAGCGGTATCTACGCCAGGAAAGAACAAGAATATGCATTGGTTGCGCATCCTGTTGACTTTATTGGATAATGCGCATACTTAGAGTCGCCGTATAATGCGTACCGAAGACGCTATTGCTGGTGCGCAGCAGAATAGAATCGAAAAGGAACCAATGAGACCATTCGCCATCATTCGCACACATCAACTGGAGCTTGCCGATTTTCACAAGAAAATTTGGTTCAGCGATGAAGCTCACTTTTGGTACGTTAGTAAACGAAACTGATGGATTCGGGGTGATAATAATCTACAAAATATTGCACATCCTCAAAATGTCACTGTTTGATGGGTTTGTTGGCCCATATTTCTCCAAAATGGTACAGTTAATGGCGAGCGCTGTTGAAACTCGATCAATAACTTTATCTTGACGCGGACATCCTTTGGTTTGAACAAGATCGCAACACCTGCCATACAGCCAACGAAATAGTCAATCTATTGATGGAAATTTTTAGAGATCGCATTATCTAGCGTCATGGGCCAGTGGCGTGGCGTATTTACACGTGCGATTCAACACGATTGGACTATTTTTTTTTTTGGTTATCTGAAGTCTTGACTTGACATAAGGTCCCATTGCAGTAAAAAGTGTTCCCTCGCTTGGAATTTATTCTACTTAGCCACGGTGGTCACTTGTCCAAAATCATTTTAAAAACAGCCTTTATTCTTGTAATAAAGCTAAGTTCTTGACATGAAAGTAAATTATATGAGTTCTATTTCTTTTTAAAAATCATATATTATATGTAAAAAAAAACAACCTTTTTCAAAAATAATAGAAAAAATTATTATTATTTTTCTTATTGGTGAACTGCCATGCATTTGAACAACTAGTCTAACTTCTCCCTGCAGGAATACTTGCTTTGTGCAATAGCCATGAATGCAAT